AAATTGACTATACTGAGTTAGACTCTGGGCTTATCTAGACTAAGGGCCAGGTTCCAATAGTGATGATAAACAGATGCCCAAGCGAGAAAAGGATTGAAGTAAGTGTGTATGGTACTAATTGGAGTATGGTAGTAATGTGGAGATAATGTACTATACTGGTGCTTGTACAACTAAGGCATGAAGCTAGTCTAGTTCCTTTTGGACAGTCTGGGATCTGATTCTAGTCATACTCCACATAGGTTCTATACTATTACTTTAATTCAGGTCTTGCTGAATCAGAAATGAATCTGTGCCATTTATTTCATCACAGTATTTACCGACTGAACTTGTGTAGATACATTTTTGAAACATGATCCTCAAAACAGCTGCATTTAGGTGGAAAATAAGAGGTGTTTCCAGGCATGTAATTTCATGAAACATCTTGCTCTGCATGGACTCTGTGTCTGGTAGGCAGTGTACTGCTAGGTGACTGCTGTATCTGAACGTAGCAGTCACTACTACACTGTCACCTGCTGCAGGGCCAGCTCATCGCTGTTTAAAGGCGGTTCCTTTGGAAAGTGCTAGGGTTCTGATTTCCAGGAATGCAGGTGGTGCATCTGCATGTGATGGGATGGCAGTGTATGTTAGCTGGTTGAAATTCTGACATCAGCTAACATGCAGTTGCTATCCTGTTTCATGTACCTTGATCATCAAAAGGGAGAGCTACTACTTTTGTATAAGGAATCTTTTGGGTCCACCCGATTATTGCTTTTTTTGACTGTCAGGCTCATTTTTGGTATTACAGGGGTATCTTATATTTCCGTTACCCACTGTTATCCAAAGAATTGTGAGAATTTTTGGTTGATTTAGACTCTGGTTTTCAGCTGCTTTTAGATACCAAGGTAACAGGAAGTCTATAAATACCTGAAACAAGTAAATAATTCAAGCATATCCCACAATTTTAAGCTCTGGAATTTTTCTTAAAGCGAAAGAAGCACAGTTAAAAACTTTGTGAGTTTTAAAAGTTTTATTTTAGATTTTTTTATAATGATATTTGGCAAATGCAAGTTGGTGGGGTTTTTTGGGGGGGGGTGGTGTTTGGTTTTTTTTCACTGAGTAATTACATGCTGGAAAGGCTTAAAATCACTTTCATTAACTGCCCAAATGCTGTATCTGAAAAGTAATTACCTTTCCATTCTATAAAAAAAAGAAAAGTAAACTTTAGAGTTTTTCTTCTCCCCTTGCTTTTCACAATAACTTAATTTGTGAACAGCAATACATTAAAACAACTGCACATAGTCTCACCAACCAGGAGACACAATTTGAATAGGACATAGTATTACACTTCAGAAGAATAAAGGCTGGAAACACACTGATTGTTTTGATTCATGTTACATTGCAAGCTTCTATCAAACACTGCCACAAGCAACCGAGTGTTAACCTCTGTCCTGATCCTGGCACTTCAGGCACTTACAAATGCAAAAGAAACTCTTTGTTATTACTTGCTTTATCAGGGTGCCGCTATATGTGCCTTGCAAAGTGAAGGTCTCCTAGGAAGAGAAACAGCGTCAATGTTTGTGATGGTCTGCAGAATCAGGGTGATCCTAGTACTGTGTGTGCTGATTAGGCAGTGCATTGTTAGTTAGCTGTTCTTCATACAGCAGCAACTGACTACACTGCCACATTAGCACATCACTGTTGAGACAAGAATATAAACACTGTTGTTGTAAGTCTCTCACCGGATCCTCAGCTGGTATGGGGCCCAATGCCTGCCTAGTTCCCCTGACTGAAAGGAGCTGTGCTAGGTTATGCAAACTGAGTGAATATAAGCTATAAAAATAAGCGTAACTGTATTTGACACACTTACACAGCTAATCCAACTGGTTTCTAAAGAATTCACTAAATCATATAAGTATTAAGAGTTTCAGGTTTGGGCCTATGTGAATGTGTTTCTCTTACACCACTAAATGTTGACTGGAGCATTAATGTGGGGCTCGGCAAACAAGTATTTTCTGATAATAATTGAATTAACAGAGACATGTCCACCTGGTGACTGAAATGGGTTTAGAATATTTGCGCTCCCAGGCAATTTTTTGGAAAGAGCAGCTGACAATTAAATGGTATCTGTTGGAGATAATGAGGATATGTCAGACCTAAGGAGTGAGGGAAGTATGAGATAGGATTAAACGAATTGTTCAGATGAAGGATGCAATACGTTATGCTCAAATGGAGTCGAAGAAACTTTTCAACACTTGTGGACTGAACTGTGTTAACCTTCTTAAGAGGGCAGTTTTATCTTAAATTGGTGAGATTATTTAAGAATCCAATAAATAGGTTTTAATCTGTTTATAGCATCTGTAGTTTAGTATTTTTTTATATGCTATATCATACATAAACTGTAAGGGGATATTTATACAAACATGCATTCATATTACTTGTTGGCTTTTGACTATAGATAAATGTGTGCTTGTGTAACAGTGTTCTGACTTTCATTTTATTTATTCACCTTTCCAAGCCTGTGTAGATTTGGCAGTTAAAGATGCTTTATTCTCACCCTGGATAACTGGTAGCTTGGCTTCATGAAAGAAGTGATCAGTTTACCAATGATCCGCCCTAAATATTACATTGAAAGAGCTGTTATGTCTCGTGAAGAACAAGTAATACAAACATACTGAGTTTTTGGAGGAATGTTAATTAACAGTAAACTTTGAAAAACTTAAACTCTGTGTAGATTCAGGACTGAATGGTACTTATATTCAAATTTCTGCAGAAGATGGTTGTGGTGGATTGTGACCAAATGATGAAATAAGAAATTAATGACTGTTTCCTCAGGCAAAACCTTCTTTTTCCATGAATCTGAAGTAATTCAGGAAGCAGTGAGTTAAATAATTCTGTCCACTCATTTGCTAATATCCCATGCTATTTCTGAATACCAGGAAAGATACTTGATCTTAATGCTGGCACTGAGTTATTTAAGATTACAGTGTATCCTGTGAAAAACAAAAAATGAGCTTTAGTGAGTGAATCACAAGCAAGGTGTTCACACTCCTTTCCCTCCTGATACCTTCCACACTAGAAAGTCATACTGCACTGTTTATCTTTCTTAGGGTATTTAAAGAACGTGGGGTGAAATTTCCCATATGCTGAGTAACTCTCAGGCGATAACAGGACTAAACCAGATTTTTTTCAGGTGTTCCACTAACAGCACCTAACATGTCTTTATACCTAACCTTTTTTATTCAGTGATATGAAAAGCAGGGAGCTATAGCAGTGTGCATGAAAGGACATGCATGTTTCAGTCATGTACATTTCAAGTAAAGATATGATCCACCATTTATGTGAAAAACATTGTGTCCTGCCACTTAGTTCCGTGAAATCTACATTGCTCCCAGTGAGGGGAGAGGATTCATATCTCAATTCCCTTCCTAATCCATCAAAACAGCAGGGACATGTGACAGAAATCACCTCACATGCTCCGCTATATGTCCCCAAGGCTGGAATTGTGCATGCATGAGGAGACTGGAGTAAAACACAGGACCTCAGCATAAGAACAGGAACTGTCTTGACGATTGGATGTGGAATCTTGTGGGCTAATGGCACATAGCTCAGAGGCTGGTCTAAACCACCAGCAGTAGGCACATTTGTACTAACTAGACCCTTACATAGGCCTTAAGTGATCTCTGAAAGTCAAAGTGGCTGAAGTTGTCATGCACAAGGTTTGACTTCCCTTCCAAAATGATGGTTGTCATTGAGTGTGACTTTAATCCTCCACATCAGTATAATTACTCAATCTCTTAAAATGTTTTTATGTCCTTATCCTTCAGTGGTTTTCTGTGAGATTCTCAATGAATTCCAAAGTTGAATGAAAAAAAATATTTTTTTTTTAATTGCTGTTGAATTTCTCACCTTTTTAATACAGTTAGTGGCTATCTTCACTGGAAAATGTTTTGAAGCACTTCAGCTATTTTCAGTCACTATCAGTCTTATAAGAGAACAGCACTAATGCTACCATTACCAATTCCTTTTTCATATAGAAAACTCTTCTGAGACACTGGTTTCTCTTGTTTCTATTCTCTCTGCCTTCCTTTAAGACTTGGACAGCTGGAATGAAGTTCCTTATTCCAATTTACTATCTCCCTTCATCAAACAGATAAATCAAAACACTTGGCAGCTTGAAATAGAACAGTGGAACAGAACTGGAAATGGGTTTGCTGTTACATGCAGGACTGGGGAGATTGCAAGGTGAGAAGAGTGGGGCTTGAGGGGTGAACCTTCATCCCCTTTTTCTACCTCTGCTGGAAGACTGTTGTTTTATTCCAGAGATGCGAGGTAGATAGCTGGGGAGCACTGTCTTGGACTGTCTCAGAAAGATGTCTGTTCGAGTGCCAGGCTGTTGATTTTTGTTGCCCCTTGAATCCTACTGTAAGCAACTATGTATATTAACACAGGCCCTGCCTTCATCCAGGTCAGAAGACGGGGCATCCAGCAGATGAGCTCACAGCCGAGGCACTGCACTGCAGTGCAAATGTATGGAGAAAGCTAAAGAGGTTAAAGGTGCTGCTGTAAAGGTGAAATGTAAAATTTATCAAAATACAAAGCAGGCAAGGAAATGTTTCCAATTTTTTCTTTTAATAATTTTATTTTCTATGTACAGTTTTTTACAACTAAGTTGACAGCTTCACAATTCAGTAATCTTCCTTGACAAGATATTGCAAAGCTCTTACCTTCAGTTACATTTGTCTCTAAAAATCCTGCTATGATGCCTCTGGGCCCCATGTCTTTCAGTTAGGGCAATTACGTGTTAATGGAATATCAAAATTTATTTGTTACTGGTAGATGGGAAACAAAACTCTTCTGTGCAAATACTGAGTAATTTATCAACAAATCTTCTTCTTTTGACCTATCTCTCTGCTGGTGACAATTGTAATTAACTATTGTCAGCAATTTAAAGAAACATTCAGAAACTTAGGCAAATTGAAGGTCCATCCCTGCAAGTTACTGAGTGCCTTGCCATTCTCAGTAACCTCAGTGGTTCTCAAGGCTGTTGCAGGAGCCAATCCAACATTAGTAGACATAGTATAGCTGAAAATACTAACACCAAAGAGAAGTAAAATCACTGATGTTTTAGCTTCTAGCAGCATTTCCCAGGAATGTAGTAAGGCTGTGTACCCATGCTATTGAATGGATTTACAGCATGAATGGCTTTTTCAGAGGTCTTCTCTTTTTTTCATGATAATCTGCCTGATTAATGATGCTACTTCTGGCTTGATACTTTCTATGGGCTCTTCAGGTCTCCAGAATTTTACAACTTTACCCTCAGGGCTGACAAGGTACTTCCAGAAATTCCATCGAGGCTCTTTCTTTGAAGAATCTGTAAGAATGGCATCAGATCATTTTAGTCACTTAGACTTGTAATTGTTTCATTACCCTGCAGTGATTCTTCAACTATTTATGTTGAAGCAGTCCCACCTTGTTCTTTGCTAGTAGTCTGGGCATGGATTTACTGCTTGGTGTTAATGATCTGAAAAGTGGGAAGTGAATGATGCTCTCCCTTTCTTGTGAAACTGTTTAAGAGTTCCTACTTTTACTACGCTCTGCTTCTTATGGAGGAGGATATGAGGGCTGCATACTAATTTGGTGAATCCCCAGTTTTATGTCAGTTTAGGGGAAGTGAAATGGGAGCAGGAAGTCATACCGGTGATGGCTTAATTCAGCTCCTTTCATCCCATGAGGCAAAACCTTACAGGTACCTTTGCTATCATGAATATCTAGCAAGATAATTTCTGAGATCAAGGGGGTATCAGGAACCTATGTGGCTCCTAGAGGAGGCAGAGGTAGTTTCTTGACTCAGGCTTTGTTCTTGGAGAGTCTCAAGGTTTAGAGGAAAATATCTTTCTGACAGAAGAACTAGAAGAAAACTCCTTATTTTCTAGTTAAAATGATGTGATAGAGAAGGGTTGTGTTCTAATTATCCTTTCTTTCATATATCAGTGTTTAGTACGCGTCAAAGACCTGGCCAACGCTCAGGAAAATTCAGAGAGGCTTTTCAAATTGGCTTTGGGTCTCTGAGGTTGTTGTGGTTTAACCCCAGCCAGCAATTAAGCACCACGCAGCCGCTCACTCCCTCCCCCCCAATCCAGCAGGATGGGGGAGAAAATCGGGAAAAGAAGTAAAACTCATGGGTTGTGATAAGAACGGTTTAATAGAACAGAAAAGAAGAAACTAATAATGATAATGATAACACTAATAAAATGACAACAGTAGTAATAAAAGGATTGGAATGTACAAATGATGCGCAGGGCAATTGCTCACCACCTGCCGACCGACACCCAGCTAGCCCCCGAGTGGTGATTCCCTGCCCCCACTTCCCAGTTCCTAAACTAGATGGGATGTCCCATGGTATGGAATACCCCGTTGGCCAGTTTGGTTCAGGTGCCCTGGCTGTGTCCTGTGCCAACTTCTTGTGCCCCTCCAGCTTTCTCGCTGGCTGGGCATGAGAAGCTGAAAAATCCTTGACTTTAGTCTAAACACTACTTAGCAACAACTGAAAACATCAGTGTTATCAACATTCTTCTCATACTGAACTCAAAACATAGCACTGTACCAGCTACTAGGAAGACAGTTAACTCTATCCCAGCTGAAACCAGGACAGAGGTCTTCGGGTCAACTGAAGAGAGTTTCATTTTGCTTCTGAGAGTATGAGGCAGTAAGTCAGTAAATGCTTACTTTAACAGGAGTATTTGTACGAGTGCGTTTTGCAAGCTGGGCCCTGAAGGTCATAAGGCAAATTAAAGCAAATCAGTGATTATATATAACTACAGTATATATAATCCAGACAATACAGTTTACATAAAGGTAGACATTTGACTCTGCTAAAAAAGGAATCTTCTCATCTGCTTGTGTTTATGTAAAATATTCCAATAATTTTACAACTCCCCATAGTTACATTTTTGTCCATAAGAAAAGTTGCTTTTCAACAAAAGTCACATAATTTGAAATGGGATTTGGCAGGTTGGAGTCTTTGCACTCAAGTTTATACATCCACAAAATGGATGTTTCTAGCTGGGTTGGTCACAGTAGGCTATTCTCATCAGTGAGAAGAAACTGATGCTTTCAGGGTGGAGGTCCTCTGGCCATATTTTTGATATCCACACTGAAACAAGATGAAGTGTGTGCTGAGTGCCTGTTTCTCTCCATAGACTATGAAGAATACGATGTTTCCTCACAAAGAGGCTTAGACTGGAATTTAGGGAGAATACCATGGTTAAAGGCAGCTTGATATATAAAAGAAAACAGTTACCTATTAGAAATTTAAAGGCAGGCTCTGCTTCTGATCCTAGGATCTTGATTTTGTGGAAAACAGGGAAGGTTACTCCATAGTTTCCTTTGGCAAAAGATTCTATTTCCTGGCTTGAACTAGGCTCTGATTCTCCGAACTGGTTGCAGGGAAAAGCCAGCACAGTGAAGTGGGAGGGGCCAAATTCTCTGTGTAGTTCTTGCAGTGCGATGTAGTTTTTGTCTGTGTGTTGGCAGTAACTGGCCACGTTTACAACCAAAGTTGCCTTCAGAGAAATAAAGTTATAATATTAAGAAAAAAACCCTAGAGATGGCATAGAGATTACAATTAGGTCTTAAAATGGCATCAGCTACTACCACAATCATTACTTCCAGAACGCTAAATTAAATCCGTCTGATCGTAATTTCATTAAACAGCTAAGGATGATAGCAGCTTAAGATATTTACTTTCAGACAATCTGTTTTAAAAATCCAATAAATGGATAAGCTTCAACTTACAGTTTTGTTTAAATATAAACATGTAAAAAAGCAGGTATTTATGACAGGCACTAAAACCATATTTACTACATCAACTTCCAGAATTCAACACAATATGCTACCACTCTTAACTAATATTAAAATGCACCAATTGTATTGTTAGGCTATATTGATTTATAATAAAGAATATGAAAAAACATTTTTCGTGATTCATTAGATCGAATACTTAATTCCTGGAGCAGGCCTAGATAAATTTCTTTCCAGCTTACTGTTTGAAGAACAGGAATTTAGCACAAATCTCTGCTGAAAATTCCTATAACCAAACTTTCTGTTCACCTACAAATGGACACCTGTTTTTCAGTAAAGATTGAAAACAAAGACATAATGAAGTTGTAACTTACTTTCCCTCTGTACTTCTCCAAGGAAACGATCCTTCCTCGTGAATCCTTGACCTCGAAAGAATAAAAATCTTTGATTTTAGGTTTAAAAAATCTGAGTTGCAGCAGGCAGAGAATGGCGGTACACAAAACCATTGACAGAAAGACAACAAAGACCCTGGCTTTGGGCACTGAATATTTCAGAGGATAAGTAGTTGTGAGAGGCTCCATTTTCAAAATCTTTGGAGAGGAGCCTGGGCAGGCCTGGAATGTGAAGGAGGAGCTGAAATATGAAACTCGCAGCTCTGGCTGGAAAGAACAAGCTGCTCATTTTGTCTGTGTTGCAGAAGTGGCTGTTTCATATCAGAGTGCCTCTGCTGGGCTTCAGAGCTTTTGGGTAAAGCACAGAAATCTCTCTGGGGGAAAAAAAAAAAAAAGACATGCATAAAAAGTGTGTTCCCATCACCTAAGGATCTTGATTGCTCTTTTGAACTGACCTGTGTGGGATACTCCAGTATTTGTCTGCACACTGTCTTGAGAGCTGCTGGGGCCTCTTGTGGGTTTGTAGTGCACCTCTAGCACATCCCCCGCGTCCCTCAGCTGTCCCTGACAGAGTTGTTGAGCAGCAGGCATCTATGCTATCAGACAGACCTGAGAAGCAGTTTGGGGGCTGGCTGCTGAGGTGGAAGGCAGGCAGTACGGCTGAAACCACCCTGTTTATTTAAAGCCTCAGTCCAGCCTCTCATCAGCTGCTGGGGGATCACAGGCAGCTTTCTCTATAAAACTCTTTTACAGCACGTGGGGCAGAGGAAAAACTCCTTGTTGATAGGCTGGCATAAAAGAAGATAATAAAATGGATTTTGGGGGGGGGGGCTGGTGATGGAAAATGAGTTGTTTTTCTTATTGCTGCTGGCTAACTGGCAACTAGCTATGCTGAGAGGAGAAGATGGAAGGTCTGAACGAGAGAAGAATGAGTTAGCTGAGAATCTCAGGTATCAGCCAGGGAGCTCCAGTGGTGTTTTGCTGAGGCAATTGTGAAAGACGCTCTGAACTTTAGAGTCTGAACACACAAGTCTGGTGTCTTATCTGTCTTCATTTTATTGTTCTGTATTTAAAAAATGTTTGCCTGTTGCTCCTGATTTCTGAAGGTACATCAACATGTAGTGGTTACAACTCAGTTATGGAAAAACCAAAATTTTCTCTGTCTTTCTTCATGTCTTCCCTTGCTCAGTTCTTCTCTTTTTCTTTCTGTCCATTTGCTATTTCCTCCCTTCCTCTCAGCTTTCAGGATTTTTTTTTGTCCTCCTCACATTTCTCTTCTTGGGTTTTTCTAAGCTATTACTTGTCTTTCAGCCTATGTTGCTTGCCAGTCTCTGCTAACTTTCTTTTCCTCCCAGTCCAAACCACTGTTGAAGAGGCATTTCTGTGTCAGTTATTCTTACCACTCTGATTTTTTGCTGCACTTAGAGGCTACATTTTAAAGGATGAAAATAGAATGAGACTTTGGAAGGTGAAACCTTGAATCTGGCGGTCTGTTGCCTTTTCAGTGACTTTGATATCACCTCAACTATCCTTGATTTGTAGAGTATCACAGAATGTTCAACCATTTCTATAATCTCTAAATAGCTAAAGTCCATGTTCATTTTGTTCAACAAGACTGTATAGAGAGTTTCACACAGTTCTACATAACAGATGCTTGGGAAATACTGTGACATTTCAGTATTTGTATGGGTGTTTCCTGTGATCTGAGGATATGGGAGCCTTGTTCTCTGCCTGGCAGTGAGGGCTGTGAGCGTGGTGTTTCAGTGGTGGGGACAGAAAAGGCACAGACATCCATGCTGAAATGAACAAAGCTGTACTCAACAAGAAGCACAGTTGACACTGCTGACTTTAAAAGCAAGTTTGAATGTGTTTGATTTCAGAAAATCCATGCAAGGTCCTGGTGTCTAAGTTACGTTTCAATAGCTTGCAATTTGCAGCTAATATTATTTCAGAAAAAAAAAATCACAAGACTTAATGTATTATAAATATTTACTGGAGTACCTAGTAATTATCCAGAAGCCTATTATACTTGCTGTGCTTCCTTACTGTTGCTACTTTCACCTAAAACATTCCTTTAAAACTGTTTGAAAAACAAAATCTTGTGTTCAATATTATCCAGGCTCTTACACTTCAAATTTTGATACATTCTTATGTTTTATGTTTTTCTGACACAAATTGCTCTATCAATGAATTTGAAAGTAAGAAATGTAAATCTGTCATTTAATCTTTATTAATATTTTATATATATTATATATTTTATTTAGTATTTGATATATCTTAAAAAGTGTTAAGATAACATTAAAAATAATCCCATGAGCAAGCCACAGTGGTGGTGAGCAGATTCAGAAATCAGAAGAGAGATAAGGCCTCCTTCAGGTGAAGATCAGAAAACCAGCCTGATTCCAGACAGCCAATGTGGGTTTTGCCCAAATGCCCATCTCTCGGGAAAGACCAGACCCACGAGCCTGTGCTAAATGTCTGAAGATGCCTTGGGTCTTTCAGAGGCTAGCGCTGTAGCCTAGCGCATGAGTGACACAAATCTAGTGTTGGTTTTTTTTTTTTTTTTTCCTCTGCCGCAGGCTTTCTGAGTGATAGTTGATTCAGGGGTAGTTATCTGACCAGAAACGTTTGTTTCTTTCTGTCCCCCCCTCCCCTTTCTCCACGCAGCCGACTGACTGCTGGAGCCCTCCTCGGCCCAACATCCATTTCCAAGGCCTGTTGCCCTGAGGTGGGCTGAGCCCACGCGGCGCGGGACAGGAAAACTTGAAACAGCGTGAAGGGACGGGCTGGTAGTAAGCCGTGACGAATTTTGGTGTTTCGTCCCCTTTCACTTGTGCAGGTCCCAGACCCGGAAAGGACCACGTACTCCAGGTTTAAGAGCTCCATTAAGAGGAAGCTGGCGGCCAAGGCTCCGGTGGCGAGCAGCCCTATCGTCACAAGATGGCAGCAGCTGCACGCGGGCGGTGGCGCCGCGGAGCCGCGCCGGGCCCGCTGCCTGACCGATCCCTGCGCCTCCGGCGGGCCCCGGCCCCGCCGCGCACCGGGGAAGACTCCAGGTCAGACGGGATGCAAAGGAGCACTTTCGCATTGAGGATGGCCTCATGCGGCGTCTTCTGGCATAACCAGGAGCGGGGAATGAGTGTAAGGTGTGGGTTGGCGTCCCGTCCCCGCCAGGTCCCACCGTCAGGGGCTGGGGCTGTGGCAGCGTGCAGCAGCAGCAGTCTGTGCAGACCTTCACAGGCAGAGCCAGCTCGGGGCCAGCGTCCTCGCAGCAGGGGTACGCTGCTGTCGTGAGAGGAGGGCTGCGCCCAAGGTTCCTGTTGCCAGTGCGCAGGCAGCCTGGGACAGCGGGTCATACGGACAGCTGACATCGAGCAGGGGTTAAAGGAAAGACAGAAGAGAGAGTCACATCCCTAGCCAAGCAATGCTTCTTACAGACCAATCTTTTCTCCTCTATGGTGGCGGCTGTATTGGGCTGCGTTTAAGTTACACTGGGCTCTAACAGTGCACAGGGTCTGCTGCTGCACCTTCATACCTGGAATTGTTAACAAAAAACAGACAGGAGAGCAGGAGAGTTCATACAGGCCCCTCGCCTTTCCTTCCTTGTGCTTCTCCTTTGCCTTACGCACAGCTACCGCAGACCCGGCCATGACGGCAGAGCTTGGACCAGTCTGCGTGCCTGGATGTGGTGTAGTGTGCGCTCACTGAAGGAGAAGCTTGCCCTGCGTTACTGTCTCTCCTCCAATGAGTAAGGCTTCAGGTATTGACACAGGGACAGCGGCCAAGGGACGCTCACACTCAACTCACCTTAGGGAGAGACTTATCTGAGGGCCGTTCAGAGCACAGATCCAACTTTCAGTACTCTCACTTGGTCTGAAGAAGAACTGACTCTAGGGGAGGCTGTTTGTCAACAACAGAGGGAACTGAGGAAAGGTTAAATGAGCCTTTGAACTCACCAGCTCGTACTTCCAGCAGTGCTAGGGGACAGGGGGGAAGGGTTTACCTGCTGCATGTACAAGAAAAGCTTCCTGGAACATCTGGGGAACTGAACACGGCTCACTTCTTGATTAATGGTTGAAATCTTTAGAGGGCAAATAAAAGATGCCGTTTAGTGTTCAGGATGTGTTCCTATGATGCCATGGGTGTTGGTCAGAAAGTGCAATTCTATCTTCTGCTAAGCAGAATACCAAAGCTGTTCAATAATACATGCCCAGCCCTAGGAAACTCAGGTTCTAAAACCAGGTGACGTCTTCCCTACTTCAGTTTCTGGAACAGAAAGTCTTGCATGCTGTCTCTACTAGCAGTGGTGAAAGCCTGTATGTTGGTTCTGGGAAATTAGATACTGATTGCCTATGGGGTAGGATCCTGTGTAACCAGTCAATAAATCTAAGACTGGATATCAGATGCAGTAGTAAACAGGTACTCTTTATAAAGGGAATGATCAATCTGACCTTTTTTAGACATCTCTTTTAGGATAAGATGAATAGTGCTGTAGAAATCTCTTTCTCTTCACTGACAAAAGGAAAGCAGGGTGACTGGTTCAAATGTCAGTATTTGCATTGTCCCACCTAGTGTGTCAGATCTGCTTTTAGAGTACTGCTGCTACGAAAGTACTTGACAAATATCCCTGTGTATGGTTTTTACATACAATTGTTTTTCCAGTGATACCTCAGGTGCCTAAGAAACTCTCCATCATGAAAACTGTTGTGACTCTACCTAGCAGTCATGCTGCAGCAGGCTTGGAAGGGAGGAATAATAGGAGAGCTGAAATGGAAAAGAAACAGGTGAGTAATGGAACATTCAAGTGCATACGTAGGGTATTTGCTTTCCTGATGTGGTTTTTTTTGGCCTGTAATCCGTTAGGTGGATACTACCTTATTGACATGGAGAACAGTAACATGAGGAGGTCCATTTAGGAAATGTCTGCTACAGAAATGTCAGGAGCAATTGCTTTGTCATTTATGTGATTCAGGTTCTCTCCCCTTCCTCCAGGCTATCGTCCTGCAAGCTAAAATCGAAACCAAGCTAATGAAGCCCTCAGGATGTGTTTGTTACCTCTGAGGGAAAACGTGCATTATAAAAAATACGCATGAAAAGCATGAATGACTCAGTTTTCCACTTGCTTTAATAATGACTATGTGTGAAGAAGATAATTTCTTCAGTTGTGCAGGATGTAGGTGTTCATTTTGTC